TCACGCCTTGTCTTTTTTTTTTTTTTAATAATTTTTTTTATTAAGAAAAGAAGAAAAAAAAACATAAACAAAAAACAAGTTTCCACCTCCTCCCAGCCTCCCATTTCCCTCCCCCTCCTCCCACCCTTCTCCCCCTCCTCCCACCCTTCTACCCCTCCCCCCACTCCTCTCCCCCTCCCTCTCCAGTCCACAGAGCAGTCCAGGTTCCCTGCCCTGTGGTAAGTCCTAGGTCCTCCCCCCTCCGTCCATATCTAGGAAGGTGAACATCCAAACTGGCTAGGCTTCCACAAAGCCAGCACATTAAGTAGGATCAAAACCCCGTGCCATTGTCCTTGGCGTCTCATTAGCCCTCATTGTTCGCCATGTTCAGAGAGTCCGGTTTTATCCCATGCTTTTTCGGTCACAGTCCAGCTGGCCTTGGTGAGCTCCCAGTAGATCAGCTCCACTGTCTCAGTGGGTGGGTGCACGCCTCGTGGTCCCGACTTCTTTGCTCATGTTCTCCCTCCTTCTGCTCCTCATTGGGACCTTGGGAGCTCAGTCCAGTGCTCCAGTGTGGGTCTCTGTCTCTGTCTCCATCCATCACCAGATGAAGGTTCTATGATGATATGCAAGATATTCGTCAGTATTGCTCTCGGATAGGGTCATTTCAGGTTCCCAATCCTCAGCTACCCAAGGAACTAACTGGGAACCTCATCTTGGGCACTTGGGAGCCCCTCTAGGGTCAAATCTCTTGCTCACCCTAAAGTGGTTCCCTTGACTAAGAATTGTGGTTCCGTGCTCCCCTATCCACCTTTCCTTTATCCCAATTCTCCTGATTCCCCAAGTCCCCCCTCCTTCCCTTCTACCTTTTCTCTCCCCATCTCCCCTTACCCCCATCCCACCCCACCCCCAAGATCCTAATTTTCTCCCCGGCAATTGGGTCTACTTCCCTTAGCCAAGAGGATAACTATATGTTTTTCCTTGGGTTCACCTTCTTACTTAGCTTCTTTAGGTTCAGCAATTGTAGACTCCGTGGCCCTAATTTATGGCTAGAAACCAATTATGAGCGAGTACATCCCATGTTCATCTTTTTGGGTCTGGGACACCTCACTCAGGATAGTGTTTTCTATTTCCATCCATTTGCCTGCAAAATTCGAGAAGTCATTGTTTTTTACCGCAGCGTAGTACTCTAGCGTGTATATATTCCATACTTTCTTCATCCATTCTTCCATTGAAGGGCATCTAGGTTGTTTCCAGGTTCTGGCTATTACAAATAATACTGCTATGAACATAGTTGAACAAATGCTTTTGTCATATGATAGAGCATCTCTTGGGTATATTCCCAGGAGTGGTATTGCTGGGTCCAGGGGTAAGTTGATCCCGAATTTCCTGAGAAACCGAAACACTGACTTCCACAGTGGTTGCACAAGATGGCATTCCCACCAGCAATGGATGAGGGTACCCGTTCCTCCACAGCCTCTCCAGCAAAGGTTATCCTTGGTGTTTTTGACTTTAGCCATTCTGACAGGTGTAAGATGATATCTCAAAGTTGTTTTGATTTGCATTTCCCTGATTGCTAAGGAAGTTGAGCACGACTTTAAGTGTCTTTTGGCCATTTGAACTTCCTCTGCTGAGAATTCTCTGTTCAGTTCAGTGCCCCATTTTTTAATTGGGTTAATTAGCATTTTAAAGTCTAGTTTCTTGAGTTCTTTATATATTTTGGAGATCAGACCTTTGTCTGTTGTGGGGTTGGTGAAGATCTTCTCCCAATCAGTAGGTTGCCTTTGTGTCTTATTGACTATGTCCTTTGCTTTACAGAAGCTTCTCAGTTTAAGTAGGTCCCATTTATTCAATGTTGCCCTTAATGTCTGTGCTTCTGGGGTTATACATAGGAAGCGATCTCCTGTGCCCAGCTCCTGTGTTTTGTTTCTTCTGCAGAAATAGAAATCCATGAAGGCACAAACATAGTGTTCAGTGTTTCACTGCTGTGATTTGCACAATCAGGACTTTATTAATTATTTATCAGAAGTTTCTGTGTTAGTAAAACTAAATTAGCAATTAAAAGTTATAGCCCTTAGTTGATGAATAACAATGATTTTGCTGACTTTCATATGATGACTCTGTTATTTTGAACACTAATTTTGGTTATGTTTGGATATGTTTGTATATCTGAGTTTGTTTGTATGTGCAGCAGGGCAAAAGAAGGAAGGGGGAGGAGACAAAGAGACATACAAACAGAAAAAGTTGGGTTGATATTGACAGAGTCTGAAAATAAAAAATTGACAAATTGGGCAACAATGAATAATTCCTGGTAAAATTACAGATAGTATCTCTGCATGGAAACAAAAATGTTTACCCATAGGATAATTTATTTCTCATAATAAATATTCTCAAATAAAAGCTGACAGACAAAAGAGGTGGAAGTGCTAGAATGTGTGTTATAGGGATTTTGTGTCTTTGTTTTCCTTTACTGAGACTTGAGGTTTGGCCTTGCTTTCCTTTCTTTTTTCACATAACATATCCTGATTAAGGTTTCTGCTGCATCTACTCCTCTCAGTACCTCCCTACCTCCCTGCCAATCCAGATCCACCCTTTCTGCTCATTCATTAGAAAACAAACAGCTCCTATGGAATAAGAATAAAAATAAAATATATTAAAATAGAACATCATAAGAAGGTAAAACAAAAATAACATATCAGAAATGGATAAAACAAGCAATTAGAAGAAAAAGATCTCAAGAGAAGGAGTAAGAAACAGATCACACTCTAGCACACACAGGAATCTCATAAAAATGCTGGACTAGAAGCCAAAAATATAAACAATGAACCTTTCAGGCAAATATATGTATAATATTTACATATTATATATATATATATATATATACATTTTTTAAAAGATACAATTAAAAAGATCAACAAAACAGAAGATCCTTCACATGACATGAACAGACAAGGGCCCTCCAAAGATGCAGGTGAGTTCACTTTCAGTTGGCTAGCTCTTGCTGTGCAAACAGCCTATCCTTAAGAGTAGATTGTTCCCCACTCAGATTCCCTTTTGCAAGTGGTTATCATTTGGAGATGACTTCTGGGTTAGAGTTAGGGCCATGTGTCCACTTCTCCTTTTAACTCTAGGACCCAGCTGGTCCAAAGCCCTGAATGCTCTGTGAAAGCTGCTAGTTCATATGTGCAAGAGCCGTGTTCATTGGTAGGTCCTTGTTTTCTTGATATCCTCTATCCACTCTTTCTCCTATACTTTTTTCACCTCTTTTTTCATGGGGTTCCTTAAGCCAGATGGGAGGGATTTGACTGAGGCATCCCCTTTAGAGATGAGTGTTCCAATATCTCTCTGTAACCTATGACTGCTGATCTCTGTGGGGTTTTGTTTTCCATCTGCTGCAGGAGTAGGTTCTCTAATGACGGCCAAGCAGGCGCTGATCCATGAGTTTAGTAGAATGTTATTGGGAAGTCATTTTGTTGCTACTTTTTTTCTTGCTTGTCTTAATTTTTAAAACAGTAGTCATTGTTTTTACCCTAGGTCTCTGAGCTATCTAGTCTCAGGATATTGGTCAACCAAACAGTATTGGGTATGGGTTCCATCTCATGGAGGGGCCTTCAGGAAAATCAGATATTGGTTGCTTATTCCCACAAGTTTTTGACATCGGTGTACTAACATATCTTTCAGTCAGGAAACTATTATAGATCAAAGTGTTTATGGCTGGGTTGGTGTTTATGTTTTATCTTTGATACTTTACATAGTAACTTCTGTACCAAAGATGCTAGAGCATAGAAATGAAGGCTTTATGTAGGTCCCATCATGATTTCTCTAGTTGCGTAGGAGTTGTCTTTAGCAATGGGGACTTAGTGACAGTTTGGAGAGTAACCTATAGTCTTGGTAATATCCTGGTTGCTTGGGGGTTTCTATAGGACCCATAGGACCCACTTGGCCAAAAAAGTAATTAGATGTAACCCCATCAATGTACTGGAAGCTTTCTTTGTTGACACAAGAAAGAGTTGGGAATCTGTCTCTTCCACTATTTTAGTTCAGTTAGATGGCATTCATATATGTGTAAAATTGGGTAGAGAGTAAGGAGAGTCCACAACAGGTGTTCTATTGCAGAGCTGAGGGTCAGAGTGACGAGTTGGGTATGGAGGAGAGGAGGGACAGTGAAGATCTGAAGCTTGTTGCCTGTTTTGCTAGCCTAATTGCTTCTCTGGCAGGCTTGGCTGATGGGTTCCCAAAAAAGCTTGCTGGAGTTGGGGGCTGAGATAAAAGAAGTGGGGAGGGAATTTGGAGGTGACCTTTGTATGATTCCTGGAGACAGGATAGGAGAGACACTGCAGCAGGTGGTCTGTTAGAGAGCTCAGAGGAAAAAACTTAGAGATTGGATTTGGAGGAATGAAAGCAGGGGTGAAATCAACAGTTAGCCTACCTGCTTCTCTGATCGAAGTTTTAGGTGTTTTCAATTTGTCTTTTAAAAGGCCATCTCCAGATCTTTTGAAATAAGAAATGGTAGGATCTGAGAAAGCTGCTTATTGGTAGGGACCTTGTCTGTCAGGCCTAAAACTTGGGTGAATTCTCTAACGTGGGGAGGAGGAAAAGAAGATGATGATTCATTTAAGCTGCATGTGTTATTCTAACAGTAGCTATAAAGCATAATTTGATTTCTCTAATACTTTATTAGCTATATGTTTTTCCTGGTATATAGAAAATTTTGTTTCAAACTAAATTTTAAACTAAAATCCTTTGATCTGAAAATTACCTTACATTCTAAGCATTTTCCTAGTGGTTATAAAATAATACATATTGGTTCACAAAAACAAATATGATGACATTATTTATGAGGAAATGTAAGCAATAGTGTCATTGTGGATCAGGACATTAGTTTGACTCATGAAATTACAGTCTGGAAATACACATGGAATTTTTATTTTGGAGTTTAATCAAAAACAGCCAGAAACTCTTGAACAAAGTACGTTTTTTTTTTTTCTCTCCCTTGTTACCATTTTCTTTTTTCATTTTAGGATATCTACTGAGGATGGTTTCAAGATGTAGGATGCTTATATGTAAAGTACCCCGAATGAAGCTGAAGAACCTGTGTTGACAGTACTTCATGTTGTGGTAAGAACAAACGATTCTAATATGTTGGCATTTGGAAAATAGAATGGAGCACATACAGTGTGTGCATGTCTCTGTGTGTAATATTTGTGGCAGCTTTATCATTAGGAGTTAATAATGATATAACATGGTGACTAATACTAAGTGGATAAATTTAAGATTTTTTTTATTCTGTTAATTACCTCGCAAGTATCCTCAAATTGACTAGGGCATGTCAGAGAACTCACTTCATGATACGTTTCAGCTGTGTGTGTATTATCTGTGTTAGCTGCTGTTGACACAGCCATTCTCAAAGGTAAGTTTTATCAGATCCAGAGCAAACGGAAACCTTGTCTACAATCTTGCTAATAGTTGATGGCAAGAGTGACCCTGGGATTTGTGAAAAGGCAAAACTTACATTTAAGGTAAGACCCTGAAGTTAGTTAATTAGTTAGTTAGTTAGATAGTTAGTTTATATATTTATTTATTGATTTATGTATGTATGTATTGTATGCATTTATTGTTTTGGGTTTTTGTTTTTTTTGATGCAAAATTTCTCTGTGTAGCTTTAGAGCTTGTCCTGGAATTCACTTTGTAGACCAGTCTAGCCTTGAATTCAAAGAGATCTACCTGCCTCTGCCTCCTGAGTGCTGGGATTAAAGAAGTATGCCACCACCACCTGGCTAAGACCCAAGAGTTTAAATGAGTAACTCAGAACAGTGCCATATTTTGGTCATCTCAATGGAATATATATGATTTTCATTTATTTATGTATCATTATTCTTGAAGAAGTATTTCTGCAAGTCATCAACCAGTCTCAAAGATACATACATCAGAACATTTGGATGGTGTAAAAGCAAGTGATATTGGAAAAGTATATGGGGTATTTTTCTTATTCATCTTTGCTTTATAGTAAAAAATTGGTAGGTTTTCTCTACACAAATGACCATTTGTGACCAAGGATAAGGTTTACTGGAACTAGTTCTAACTCAGCCTGTATGCATAACTGGCTTCCAGCCTAAAAAAGGTAACTTAAAATGTGCCAATTTCCTTTGCTCATGTACATTATGAGGTACTGAGAAGACTCCACTGAAGTAAAAGATAGTCTATGCAAAGCACCTGCCATTCTCTCAATACACTACAAATCCTCAAGCTAGGAAATCATATCAATGTCATTATGATGTAAACATTACAAAAAATATAGTCAGGACTTCATTGTCTTTCTACCACTGAAGATGTATGATTAAAGAAATACAAAACAAGAATTGGTGAATTAAGATTCAACATTATGCAAACTTAGTCTACAATATGTCTTACTTACCTGGATAGGCAATTTTAGATTGAAGATTGAATCACTTGAAGTATCAGTATATTTTGACAACATTAATTTGTAAACAAAAGAGCACAGATTTCTTTCTTCTTCATACTCAGCAGTAATGTTGGATTTACTTGGTCTGTCTTTCTTACCTGAAATATTTTCAGATGAATTCATCTATACTAGTATTGTTACCTAGATGGCCACTGTGTCTCTGTGTGTTATTCAACCATTATCCCTTGGGAATCTATTGAGAATCTTCTTGGAGACAGCCATGCTTTCAGAATTTGACAACATTTCTAGTAATAATCAGCACTAATTTTGTGGAAATATACATCAGGCTTACACCCATAGGTTACATTTTTCCATTCTACGTTATTCATAGTATGTGGGGCGAACTCTTTCAATGAGCAATCAGGAGGAAAAGTTTACAATCATCCCCAAGTTCCAATGTGTTTTCACCTTTTCTGTGGATGAAGTAAACCTTACAAAATCAATGAATGCAATGCAGATACTAAGATAGCAACTCCAATATTAATAGAGAATGTCTTACTTCAAAGGATAATGGGAAGGGAAGTTGGGGCTTTACTAAAGCTGTTTTTACTTGTATTCATTCTAAGAATACTCATAAAACTGTCTATGCGCTTCAGATACTGTATTACATTTCAATTCATGACTATTGAATTTGCACAGAAGTTCCAAAATAAAGATTTCTACATCCCTACAGTATGTCTAGTGTGCGTTGCCTTAATTTAAATAATAGTTATTTTATAGGAATAGAATTCTCCATAATAAAGGCCACATATTGTTCCATTTGCCTTTTTTTCTATAATAAATATGTTTGTTTCCTATCCTGTTAACTCTAAGCTAGTGATAAAGCTGGTTTTTTTTTTTTTTTCAAGACAGGGTTTCTCTGTGGTTTTGGAGCCTGTCCTGGAACTAGCTCTTATAGACCAGGCTGGTTTCTAACTCACAGAGATCCGCCTGCCTCTGCCTCCCGAGTGCTGGGATTAAAGGCGTGCACCACCACCGCCCCAGACCCTTGGTACAAAGAGGATCATAAGAGTTACATTGCCTACAAGCAAGGCCACAGGGACTGGACAAATCACCTGCTTCTTGAACCACTGCAAATAATCTAAAATGGAAGCTGCCCTTCAAGATCTACTCAGAAGCTTGATAACAGATGAATCAGCTTACATCCTATACAGAATTTAATGGAATCTTCCACAATAATGATAAAAGTTTGGCATGACTCAGAAAGTGGTAAGAGGAAAGTAAAGGAGAGCCTATTCTGGACAGCAAAACAAAAATCTGAACAAAGAAATTAATCATTTTCAAAATGTATTACCAGGTTAAGGACAATACATTTTACCTTAGTTTTTTTTTTCTTTTTCCATAGGGCATGTGTGTTATATGTGCACCTTTAGGCCAACACTTCTCATCCTCACATTTTAAAATGTTTAGAGAATTGTGAGAAGTTTGGTGTATATTCCCAGGAAGAGGATGCTGCTCTTGGGTATCTACTTACGTGGACTAGACGACTTCCAGTAATCTGTGTATAAAACATCATCATTCAAACCAACACACTTCTTGTACACTCTACTAACTGGGACTCAGCATTTTTCTGCTATGAAGATTTAAGCTTTATAATCTAATAAAGGAGTATGGTTTTGGAGTTCAAACTGAAAAGCTTTACTAAGTAAGCATTAGGACATATATCTAGGAAACTAATAGGTTTTAATAATGATTCTCTGCACTTATTTCATAGTTGAATAACTTCCTTTTTTCCATTATGTATAAAACCTTGATAAAGCAAATTTAAAACTGCAGACCATGTTCCAAACAACAGCAGTTCTCATTTGGTTAATGTGAATTTAATTCCTTCTAGTGAGCACTGGCTTTTATACATGTGCTAATATGTCAAATCTTCCCCCAGTTACCGCAGATCCATAGGTTAATAAAGTTTATCAGCAAAAGTTATTGGCTCCAGTTTTAAAGTTAGCACATGATTAGGCTAGGCCTGAATCTTGGCACCACATCTGCTACAGCTGCTTGTTAATCCTAGGATAATTCAATTTTATAACCATGAAGAGCTAGTTTCATGCCAGCCAGCAGAAGCTCATATGGGAACAATTGGCCTGTATTTGTTTTATTTAAGGTCCCAAACACCGATTTCGCCATCACTTGCCAAGTTAGGCATTGAAAGGCATATGCAGAGCGGGCCTGATTTGTAAAATTCCTGATTTGTAAAACTACTCCAAAAGAAATTTTATGAAAAGAAAAATGTCTAGTTTTCTGCACATTTTTTTTCTAACCACTGACCTTGTTTATTTGAACCAATTTTGTTGACTTTTTAAACATCATCTTTCATATAATCAACTGTCGATTAGGCTAATCTGGTATTTAGTCAAGCAAGCCTCCTTTTAACACCAAAGTGAACTCATTCATCCCCTGTTTCTGTCAACCCTGCCTTCCTCTGTCTCTCCACAGACACGTACATACCATATAGACCACCTCATCTGGTCCACCCATCTTTTCTCCAACATAATATGTAAATTTCTTACTTCTTTCCAATCTCCTGGCTAATGATTTAACTGACTACAAGTTGAACTTTCTGACCTTATCTTTGACTATAAAACAGTAACTCTTCGGAGATAAAGACCCGGTTTTCACTGCTGTCCACATTTCCCAGGGTATGCTATCCTGGCAGGTAAAAACCTCAAGAGAGCTAGAAAAACAGCGACTCGACAGGAATGTGTAGGCCACAAAGTCATAGTTTTAGGAGGTAGAAACACCAGAGATGAGGAAGAAATGAAGGGTGGATGACATAGTTCTTTGAAGTTGAAAATTTATGGCAATTTTACTACCTGTCTCTACATTTCCTCTACTTTAGATTTATTTCTCAAATACTCACTACCCTGTAAGGTGGTAGACTCAAAAATCTACATGACTCAGGCTTTCAATGACATTATTTAAACTGTATATGAGATATAATAAAACTAAAATTATATCTTTGGAATTATAACAGCATGCAAAATTTACTGTTTGGGTCAGCTCTAAAACTTAAACTGCATGCAAAACTGTGTTTAAAATAGTTTAAAAGGAAAGTGTAAGATCTCCATAAAGGTATGATTCTCTCTCTAGGTAAGTTGCTGAAGGAGACAGAGGAGACTGCAGGAACACATATTGGACATGTTGTTATATCAGGTTTCTCTGACTCCCCCAGATTATACCTTTTTTTTCAGGATCATTTTTGACATTGATTATGTTCATTATAGACAATCCTAATTAGTGGCAACCTTTTGAAGACAAATATCACTCAAAATAATTTTTAGTATGAATTTTTACCGCTGATTTTCCTCCTAATCTTATTGAAGAAATTTATAGTTGATATATATGACATGAATTTTGTGTTTGCAAAAAATAATTATTATAACTTTGAGAACTGAAGATCATGTATATTAAATAAATGAATAAATGAGGGAAATATTTATTTTAAGATGAAAATACATTATTTGTAGATCTTTGTTGAGAACAAAAGAATAATTTTTGACTCCACAAGTAACCATTTTTCTAGTTGCAAAGAACTAGTTACGCAATATTAGATGATCTAATTGTAAATCATCAATATAAAAGCACATGTGCAGTTATCACTATACACTGGGTCAATCTATGCTCCACCAGGGTTAAGAAATGCATGATTACTGGA